TATATATATATATATATTTACATATATAAATGATTTTTTTGTTTTTTGTTTTCTTTTTTTTTTTGTGTAAAGATATTTATAAGCATGTCTGTTTTAACTGGTTAATAATTAATAGATCGATTAATTTATAGGGGTAAAAAGGATCAGGCTGAATTATTATTTAAAACGGCAAAAACTTTATATTTGTTGTTATTGTTGTTGTTGAGGTGCGTGATTACAAGTTAAAAATCAAAAATGAATAATTATAGGGTTTCTTCTTCYTATTCCTTTTTACGATCATGCGATCTACATATAACTAGTTAAATATATAATATATATATCTTTATATTTTAAAGGTAGCACACTTTTGGCTTGTAGCCCCAAGTGAGGTTTTCTTCTCTTTAACTTTAACTTTCAAACAAGCGTGTGTGTGTGTGGTTGTGTGTTAACCTAATATTGTATTATTATGTCTATCATTAGCTTTATCCATTAGTTTCATACATACATATCTCTTAMTGTTTAGCTCGTTTATTTTTCTCTCTATTTACATTTGATTTTTTTTCATGTTTTCGTTTGTGTGGCGTGTTTCTGTTTTCGGTTTTTATATCATATATGCTGTTTAAAACTAAATAACTTAAAAATTGCTTACAAATATTTTGCAATGAGTTTTTGTTGTTATTTTTCAAGTGAAACTATCGCTATTTTTTTATTTTTCTTTAAATAGAAAAGTAATTGGAAAACATGTTAAAATATATCTCGCCCTGAAGCTGTGAGGCGATTCCATTTAAAATTTTGACGAATTCATTTAAAGTTCACATTTCACACGATTTAAATAGCTTTGGATTCTACTTCACCAGTTTTCAGTCGCTATTCATTGCCAGCTGCAGATGTTCGCTTTTCGCTCTCTCACAGTTGGTTCATCACCAACCGCTACTAGCTACTCTTTTCTCCAGGTGTGCAAGCACCTGCTGCCGGCATCTCTCCACTCTCCATACATTGCATGCTACTCATTACTCACTACACGCTGCTTACACACGCTTGCGCATGCGCTCATGGCGAACACCGATGTTGCGCTTCCATTCGGGATCATTGGGATCATCGTCCATGAATGGATCATCGACCAGGTCCTCATCGTCGAGTCCCTCACCCTCGCCTAAATAAGCATCGATGCTCGCGTTATAGGCATTTGCATCGTTCGTGATTGTGCCTGGCACTTGATCATCCTCTGGTGGCGCCAGATAATGATGATAATCATCATCCTCCTCTAGCAGCAGCATCTCCTCCTCCTCATCCTCATCCGCTTCTGGCAGATAGTCAATGCCATCGTCATAGCCATCCTCCTGGCCGCCATTGCTGTGAACTGATTTTGCCGCAGCTTGTTTTGCAGCAATTTTGCCACCATTAAGCCGCGTCAATTTGCCGGAATTGGTGGCCTTTGCTTTGCTGCTGCGTCGACTGCTGGAGCCGGTCGTAGTGCCATCTCCATTAGAAGAGACCGATTTGCTTTTGATCCGCTTGCCCGAAGCGGTGGCTGCGACGCTGGTGGTTGCCGGTGTCGCTGGCTCTTTGGGCTCGGGGCCTGTGTCGGCGAGCAGTCGTTGATAGGCCTCCTCGGAGAGAGGAAAATTTAACGGCTCAAATGGTGGCGGATCCTGTGGAAAATGTAGAAAAGAAATATAAATGTAATACATACTAATATAAATACACATCAGCACTCACGTCTCGGGTATCTGGCGTGGCACTACGACGCTCGTGATCCTTTAGCTTGCTGGATGTGGTGCGACGTCGCTTTGTGGTTTCGCCCTCAGCTGCGATGCCATCGAGAGGGTGCTGCATCATGTTCTGTGCCAGCGGCGAGGGTATGCTCTCATTGTCAGCGGTAGGTCCGGTCAGCTGTGAAGCAGCCGGCGACGCTGGATCCGGTGTATTGGCGCCGCTCGATTCAGCCCGACTGTCCACACGTCGATTAGCACGCGACCGAGTACTCCAGGGGAACTTTAAGAATGTCTCGAAACGTCGACGTTCCTCGATGAGAGCAATCTGATGCCGTGCTATGTACGCCTCATCAGAGAGGTCTTCCACCTCATCATCATCATTCTCCACATCAGCAGCGGGAGCAGCTGCGTCCTTTGCTTCAGTTATTGGCTCTTCCGTTTTCTTTTCGGTCTTGTCTTCTGAGATTTGCGCCGTCTGCAGTTTGGGTCGCTTATTAGGTGGTTCGACAGATTTAGCAGTGGGTTTATCTGCTACATTTGGCGCCGTGGCATCCTTGCTAGTAACAGCGGCAGCAGCAGTAGCAGGAGCAGCAGGCGTAGGCGTGGCAGCAGCTGAGCTTGCTTTATTTACATTATTATTTACAGGGATTTTATTATTGTGCTTTTTGGTTTTACCATTGAGAGGCGCTTGCTTCCTCTTTAGTTCCTTGCTCTCAATTTTCAACAGCTCGGATTTCTCCTTCAGCGGCTGCTCCTTGGTTTCAATCGCCGACTCTTCTGGTTTTCCATTTAATAGTCCATTACTTAGTGCCAGCTTTGTCTGTTCCTTTGACAACTTCCCAGTCTCTGCCAATCGTTTCTTCTTCTTGATCGATTGCTTCACGCCATTTAGTTTATTTGGGGATTTGCTTGATGTTTTTTTTTCAGTGTTGTTGTTCAACTTGGGCATTGGGGTTACTGTTGCTGCGGGCGATGTTGTTGCTGTTGTTTCAGTTGCTGTTACTGTTGCTTGTGCGGGTGTTGTTGGTGCGGGTGTTGTTGGTGTGGTTGCTGTTGTTGGTGCTACTGTTGCTGTTTCTGTTTCTGTTGATGCTGCTGTTGCTGTTTCTATTATTGTTGCAGTTTCTATTGTTGCTRTTTCCGTTGTTGTTGTTGCTACTGCTATTGGTGCTTTCTTTTCGTCAGTCACCAGTTCTTTCTCCTCCTTTGCATTCACACAGCCATTGGTCAACTTTTCGTCATTACCAGATTTATTCGAAGATTGTTGCTCAGTATCGCTATCCACAATACGCCACCTAAGTTGATGAGAGAAACAATATGTTAATTTCGCATTCATCTATAAAATATATATATATATTCTTAATTACTTTGGTGTTGGTATCTCCTTGTAAGGCAGTATTTCGACACGCGTCTGTGCGGCCATGCTGTAGGGTATAACGATGTTGTCAATGTCGTAGATAAGACGATTGCGTCTCTCTGCAGTGCTATTGATTGGGATTGATTGAGGTATGGTTGATTCAATTATTTATGTAAATCTTTTAAGCAGCATTCACAGCAAACACAATTTGATGCCAATTCTAAAAAATGGCCCTTAGCTTTCAAACTTTGGCTACACTCACCGTTCACTACGGTGCCCGTGTGTTTCGGAAGAATTGCGGCGACTGTGTTGCTCCCACTGCGAATCTCCGGTAAGGCGACTGTTGCTGTTATCCCCAACGCTGGCCTGTTGACTGCTGCTGCTGCATCTGCTTCTGCTGTTGTTGTTAATGTGTGTTGAATGCGTTTGATGAGATTTGGAGCCTGATTTGCGTGGCTTTTTACCGCTGTTGCCGGAGATCAGTGCGAAGCTATTTAGTTGTTGTTGTTGGGAGTCGGGCAGCGCTCCGACTTGATTCGTGGCTGATTGACGCTCCTTTTTGCCCACTGCAGCGTCCAACAGGGATCGGGTATACATACGTAAATGTTGAAGAGAGAAAAACGAAAACAAATTGCAAAATAAAACAAATATTGTTCGTTTTGTTGTTTGTTGTTGTTCGTTGTTATTGTTATTGCACAGTTGTTGTTGTTCATGTTGATGATGATGATAATGGATGTGTGTGCGTGGGCAATTGTGCGCATTTGTGTGTGTGCGAGTGTTGCGATGTTCCGTGTAACATAAAAGAAATGCGTAAAGAAAAAAAAAAAAAAAAAAAGAAAAGAAAAAAAGAAGATGCAAATTGTTGTTGTTTTATGTTAATAATCAATTATCGAATTTGTCATGTTTACAATAATTTACTGTTGACCACAAGCGGCGTTGTGGTAGGCGTAGAAGAAGAAGAAGTAGTAGCAGTACCAGTACCGTTTCCACTATCCAATCCTACGTGCCCAGGTCCACTGCTCACGCCGTTGTTTTTGTTGATATTATTATTTTGGGTAGTTGATTCTTTATTGTTGTTGTTATTGTTATTGTTGTTGTTGCTGCCGTTGTTTACTTTGTTTTGATTATTATTGTTGCGCTCCTTACGGCGCACATAGCGGCGCTTGGTCGTCTCCCCGGGTCTCCGTCCGGCACTACCGCCAGTGCTACCGCCGGCGGAGGCAATCGCCTCGCGCTCAGCCTTCCAGACGCTCTTGACAATCGCCTTGGCCTGGCTGCGCATTACACGATATTGCCAATCAGGCTGACGGCTAATTGCTTCCAAATGCACCGACTGGCAAACATCTGCAATGATAAGGAATCCAAGTTTCATTAATTTAAAGCCCTCCTGTATAAACTCATTTGACCACTCACCATTGGAGAAGCTCAGCACCGGATGATATCCGGGGTCGAGCAGCGCTACACGGTTTTGGGGCATCAATGTTTCGGGTAGATCTCTTGGCGCCGTCGGATCCGGTCGGCCGGTGCACAAAGTGCACGGCACCTGCGGCCATTGGCAGCCGCATTTGATGTTACTGGGACGTGCTGCCTTCTTAGATATTGTGTGCATGTTTGTGGTCTGGAAGAGTTTACGTTTGCGAAACTCTGACAGTACCAAAGGACGCGCCCGACTGCATAGCCAATCGTCGGAGGCCTGTTCGGGATCTAGCTGTAACGCAGGCTGCCGCGGTTGCTCCGTGTAGCCGTTCTTTGGCGTCTTCGTCGCTTCCAAGAGTACATCGCCCTTAGTGCGACACAAATCGTTGTAGACGTCGTTGTGTTGCCGGATTTTGATCTCCAGATCGGCAATCTGAGCGCTCAGCCAGGACCAGCGCAGGGCTATGATAGCACGCTCTCGCGAATAGCGCCATACGGCACGTTGCGCGCTGCAAAATATAATAGGAGAATATATTTATATAACACTCCGACTGAAAAAGTTAAGAACACGGCTAAAAACAGAAATTACAAATTTCTAATGTTAAATACATTTTACAGTACTGTTAATGTTAAGACTAAGAGTATTAAATGGCCGGGCCTAACATTTGCACATATGTTAAATAGCAGAACTTCTTATTACGCTTCTGTTGAAGTTAACAGATCTGCTTGGCTAATCAGTTGAATATATGGATCATAAATAAGTATATAACTAACACACCAACTGTACATATGGTTTCTAAATTAAAATTTAATTAAAAAAAAAAAAAAAAAAAAAAAAAAAAAAAAAAAAAAAACCTGATAACTTTGCATTTCATTTAAATGACAGAATTGAATAGCTTGGAAGGATCTATAACACACATACACACATAAATCTATGCTAAATGTTAAATTACGACTGATTTTTGTTATCTTTGATAGCAGATTTTAAGCAAATAGGCTAAAGATTCAATAGATATGTAGATCAATCTTTGATCATAGATTTGAAATTATTAGTCACAGAGATGCTTATGATTGTTAAAGATACCAATATCAGTTAAAGATTGAATAGATCAACATTTCGTTCACTCACATTGGCAATGACAACTGCTGGGAATTATTGTAGGTGACCATCTCGTCGGCAGAGTCGCCGCCAGAACTCGATTCAGTGGCGTCCGAGTCGATGGCATTCTGCACCTCACGCATTTCAGTGTGCAACAAGCCCGCCACATGGGTCAATTCGCTGGTCACATAGCTATCAAAGTTCGGCACAATCTCGTCGGGGCGTGGAGCCAAGACGCCATCAACTCCAGATGGTACAGTACTGCTGTTGACATTGACAGTGTCCACTTGTTGTGTTTTGCGTGCCCGTTTGCCCGGCTGTGCCGCGCCGCTATACCACGTTGAGGAGGACGCCAGCGATGCAGAGCCACCGCCAGTTGTATGGCAAATTTGTTGTTTACGCGCCGCGGTCTCAATGTGCCGCAGCACATTGCACATCTGACTGGCAGGCAGTGGGTGTTTGGTCTGTTCCTCCCAGAAGCTGCTATTCGGTCGCCCAGATACAATCGACAAGACGGTCTCCTCTCGTTCGCTCAGCTTGGCGCTGCGCACCGGCGCACCGGATGCTGCTTTATGCGAGGTGCGCGCCGCCCATTCCAGAATGCCGCTCACTTCGTCGCTGGCATGACGGCACATATGGCGCGATTGGAACTTGCGCATGCGCCGCAGCAGGAAGTCAATCTTGCGCATCAGCAAATACTGTTGCTGTTCAAGCTCTGTATGGCATTCCTGCAAGGGACGCGCCACGATTCCTGTACTACAACTGGGCTTTGACTCCAGCATATCTTGGATGCCGGCAATAGTCGATGCTGGCGTTCCTGCTGCTGCTGCTGTTGATGCAATTGGGCCAGCTGCTGCTGCTGTTGTTGTAACTGTTCCGGCAGCGGCAGCTGCTTCGTCCTCGTTGCATGGGAAATACATTTCGTCAAGAAAATTATAGATTGTATCCGGATTGACGTGCGCACTGTCAAATGTTTTGAGCGCCTTTAAAACCTCCTCAATATCCTGATCCTCGAGCACGGCGCCAGCACCGCCATCCTTAAGAAAGTTTATCGAGCTCGTCGTGCTCTGCGGCGTCAGCACTGCGCCGGACTGACGCGCAGTTGTTGAATGCTGAGGTGAGGCGAGTATCTCCGGTTGTTGTTGCTGTTGTAATTGCAACTGTTGCTGCTGTTGCAACTGTTGGTGCTGTTGCAACTGTTGCTGCTGTTGCAACTGTTGGTGCTGTTGCTGCTGTTGCTCTTGCAACTGCTGCTGCTCTAGCTGTTGTTGTAACGTCAGCAACTGTTGCTGCTGTTCTTGTGGTTGCTGTTGTTGTGGTTGCTGTTGTTGCCTTGTCGACATCGTCGGCGCCACAACGCTGGCTTCCATCGCCGCTTCGCCTTTAGCCACGTTGGGCGGCAATACAACGCTGGGGCTGCCATCGAGTTGACTAAGACATTCTGTAAATGCGAAGAATAAAATCAATTTCAATATAAATAAGCATAGGACTAGTTTTATGTAGCTTTTCATTTCTCATTAGCCACTTTTTTAAGTAATCAAATATCATTACACCAAACTACTGTTAGCAATATAATTATAATTGGCATTATTTTCTTGTTGCATGTAATGTAAATTAACATATGCTACTTATGGTTGCCACTATGATTTGTTCATTGACAGACTCCAGTTACAAATTAGCACGCAAAAACTATATGATTTACATTTCTAACAGTGTTTTACTAACATAGACTGTTATCTAACAGTGGTACATTGCTAAACGCAGCTAATGTTAGAGCTTTTGAATAACAGAACTGTATAGGTACCATTACACTTTATTAAATTTGCTACAATACATAGACAAAATTATGTAATGGGAAATTACATTATAAAACTTTGTGGCAGTAAATTAATTGGTTTTTTAGAATATCCAATTCCCGCCAAACATAAAACAAGAGGTAACCTCAAATATAAAACGAGGTCTGTTAAATCTGTTAACATAGCTATTCACAGTAACCTGTTAAGTTGATTCGATTAAAAACAAGTGCGAGAGAAACAAAGGAGATTTAAATAAAAAGATTATTTATAATCCAGCTTGTTTCGCCTGGATCTTTGGAGCAATTGAAATGCTGCCTGACGTCAAACAAAACATCAAACAAATGTTTTACATTAAACAAAAAAGCGCATTACTGGAAATCGGAACGTGAATACGCATGAAATATTTTTACTATTAAACTCTTCGGAAAGCTATCGGGTCGATCGTGCGGACGGCGCAATAGGATTGGTACTTTAAAATCGCCCTTTCAGGCTTACGACTTACCTTCAATAGAATCTGGAATTTTCGCAGCAGCAGCAGCCAAATCCGCCGCACTCTCCGCATTGGGTGGCAGCGGTATTTCCGGCCACGCCAATCGCTGCAGAGCGTCTGTGAGTGTTGCTGTTGCTGTCGTTGTTGGTGTTGGTGTTGCCGCCACCGCTGCTGCTGCTGCCGCCGCACTWGTGGACTGGGACTGGGCTTCGGTTTCTGCCATTAACGCGGGCTCCAGCAACTGCACGGAATGTGCTATAGCAGCGGCTGCAGCCACAGCTGCTGCGGCAGCTGCTTCAGTTTCGGCTGGCTGCTCCTTGCTGTGGCTCACCTCGGGCAGTGTTTTCCGCAGGCAAATCTCAGCTGTGATGGCCTCCTCAAATTCGCTTGTTAGATTTGCCAGAAGCTCTGCCGTTGAGTTGTCCTTGCAGTTATTATTGTGCTCGGTGGACGCGTTATCGGCTGTCGCTGCTGGTGTCACTGTTACTGCTGCTGCTACACCTACGTCGTTGATGTTAATGCTACCGCTGTTGCTGGAGCTGGAGCTCGAGGAGACGCCTTCACTGCCGTCGCTGCTTGTATGTGTGGTTGCAGCACTCAGGCCCATTTGATGCTCCACGGTTTTGGCTTCGCTGTTGTTGTTATTGTTGTTGGTACGATTGTTGGATTTGCGCTTGTTGTTATTGTTGTTGTTGACCTGCACAATCGGCGAGCCCATACGCTGTGCCGCGTCCTTCGAGCGTGTCACACGCGTCGTGGCCGTCAAAGAGTTTGGCTTCTTGGCCGTTTCACTGGGCGAGTCCAATTTTCGTACAGACTGGCGCGTGCCGGTGGCAGGGGATGCGTTGTTTGTTAGCTTCTCCTTGGGACTCAGTGGCTCGGCCGTGAGCGCTGGTGCCATACTTGTGCGGCGTCACTGCCAGGCCAGCTGCATTACAGAGTTACGCTATTCGACACTTTACCACGCTATTCGGTTTTTATCACTTAATTACTGTATGCACTTTATTGCTCTGTAGGGAAGGGATTCCTGTTGGTCGCTTCAAAATAAATGATAAAAAGAAATTTTTTAAAACTTAATTCAATAATTTATTTTGAAAGCTGACACCGAACTGAAGCACACTTTGTTTTTCCGCTTACGCACTCTCTCATACAAATAAAAGGCTCAACACGTTTCGTCTCGCCTACTATTAAAACAATGGCAGAATGGTTTATCTAAAGTTGCCATACATTTGCATAATCGATAACAACAATTACACAAATTAACAGCGATAACAAAAACCGCTGTATTTATTATTTTTTGATGACCTCTTCCGTCAATAGCAGGCGGATGCTTTATGTACATATAGCTGCCAGACATCTGCATACATGGGACCACTCGATAATAATTACACCGACCAACAACAAGCGATAGCTAACAAAATTCCGTTGTTATTTTGGTTGCCTATTCCTCCTTGTGATTATCTTCGTTTACGCTGCCTATAGGAAGTCTTTTCCGGCGCCGCGTGCGTATGTGTAGCACTCACTCACTCTCTTTCTCTCTCACATACATACAAATACACACACACACAAACAGGCGCGCGGGCTTCAATGCGTGCCAATTGTGAGAGCAGAGAAGAGAGCGCGCGCTATTGCTCATTCACAATGATGCGCAATAAAAAAAAACGAACTATAGAGCACTGCGGTTCGCCCAGCAGAACATTTGAACAAATGCAAATGGGCAAAACTACTGACGAAATCTCTGACTGCGCGCATGAAAGTCTAAATTATTTTTATTACGCATGTGTGCAGCAAAACGCATATGTCACAAACATTTACAAAGAGGTGCGTGGCCGCTTACTTTTCATGTTTTTTTTATGTAATTTCATTTATTGAATTTTTCATCGTTGGCAATTAAGCAGCTCGCGCCTTTACAATATGTGCGCGCACACAGCACACAAACAAATAAAACACACATACACTCCTACATATGGGTACAGACCCATGCATGAGGCTACTGCTTGTATAGACGTGTGTGTTATGTACATACACACATGCATACATGTACATGTCTAGCACTATTTTCAGTTATTTACACAATAATTCATTTCATTTTCAGTTTGCACACAAATTACATAGCCTAAAACGCCTTAAAGCTACTAAATATTATAAACAGTTTCGCTTTTATAGCAAAATTCTTTATTTATATACACACATACATATGTGTTTTTCTTCGTTTCAACCAAAAAGTAGTAGAAAACGTTTTCAGCGCGAAAGTAACCAAACTGTGCACTACACACACACACACACATGTACCGACATACAGAAGCAGAAGCACGCAAGAATTTGTAATTGCTTAAAAATTATTACTATTTTATACGCACAATTTTAGACGCTTGCACAACGCACGCAATTATTAAATCTGCCGATTTTTACTAAAGCGGCGTTGCTCGCGCTTGGTTTATTTGTCGGTAATATTTCACTAAATTTTTTCCTCATTTATATATTTTTTTCATTTGCTCCCTGCTACGCTTTTGGCAAAACGACGTGTATTCGGAGCTGTACTCGTTTCTGTGCTGCCAGACCAAAGTACGCATGCTGATCATACGGCTGTCTCGTTCTTACTTATGGCGCTACATGGGCAATTCCGCATCAGTGTTGCAATGCGTGTAAGTGAGATGTCTTGACAAATGGTTACTTTAAATCGTTACTCAGTCACAAATGGCAACCCCTAACCGTGACCAAATGCTACTACATAAAATGCAACTCTGCTCGCAAATAAGCAATATGTTTGTTATTGTTTTTACTGGGATGGATTTTAATGGTTCTTACAATGTGAATAAATATTAATAATATTATATTGATTCTTGACTTTTAATTTTAACAACAAGCATCGCTTAATTATCATTAATCAGCCCTTCTAGATTTCTACACATTTTAAGGGGGCCTCTGAGTATTATACACCAATAGATCAACTGATGGAGCCTCAAATATAAATAGGACCCTACAAGTTAGAATTTGTGACAACATAAGAAAAAATTTGCCAATTCTTTTTTACGCTTCGCAGATAGAACACCACATCTGGTTAACGTATTACTGTGAACTTGTTGAAGCTATAGTTCTCAATCTTCTTGGTTGGCGAAAATACGGCGTTTTCAATCTTCGAATTGGGGCTACCTTTGTTCTGGAGCCAATCCTTCCTGGAAGCAGTCAAAATGTGACAGTCAGGACACAATAAACTATATGACTAATAATCCATGTCTGCATTTACATTTCATTAAGCGGTGCTAGAGGAGCTTCCAATTCGCCCCTTACTGTGCCGTTCGGGGTGTTCATGCACCAACCGCGGACTCCCAGTTCATTCGCCTGCTTTTCTGTGTACTATATTTTTATATATGTGTAATAAACCAATTGAGCTTAAATTTCTTCTCTACCATATTCGCGCTATTCCATAATAGACTTACCTTCCGAAAGAAAACGCCTACAAAAAAGAAAAAAGAAAAGTTACAAAATGTGTAACAATGAGAATTTTGCAAATGAGGCTGTCGATCGTTGAATATATATACCTTGTACTTGTCCAAAGACTTCGAAACTGCACGCAAATAATTGAGTCATTGCGATTGATGAATTTTGATTCCCAGAAACTTGGGATGTTACGAACAGCACAATAATTATAACAATATTTACTTTGAGAACTAAATCTGATTTATACGAAAACACCATAACGACCGACTAACAGAGTTGCCAGCTAGCTTCAAATTTTCTCCAGTGGCGTAGTCAGTTGGTCTTGCAAAGCGAAAGGTATCCCCTTTTAAATGTCACTGATATATTATAATATATATATA